TTGACTTCATTTCTACAACAAAAAACTCGAAGTTATTGTTTCTGTTCCGATGTATCATTGATGCTTTCAGTAAACAATGATCTTTACAGTTGGCAATTTTAACTTGGCTTGAATGCTCACATACTTTAAACCAACCAAAAGTAGGATATGTTGAACAGAAAAAATGAAAGAAAAGGCAGACCTTAATCGGAAGAAAATAAGAAGGCTTCATGAAATGCCTGACGATGGTGTGCTTCAAAATGGTTTAGAAATATATCACACCTCTAATGAATAGAAAAAGTGTTATACTCATACTCTCTCCATGATATAAATATAAATGTGAGCAAATTCAACCACTTTTTCGAGTCTGTTTCTGAATTCTCCTTAGTGTAACTTAGCATATGTAAAGTTTCAAATCATCGAGAAAATTACTGACAAAAACAATTCAATAATTCCAATTGTCGTTACTGACAATCTCATAATTCATTTACAACATCCATACATAGCAACTAGCTTTTCAAGTTTCATATTAATTAACCTTAACAAAGCTTAATAATAATTTCAAATGATATCTTACCGAGCGATAAATAATTCTAATAATGTAAGATAATAACTTCAATAATGTCAGCTTACATTTTTAATTAAATGATTTACTACGGTATGCATGCATTTTCGGCAGTGATTACAATGCGGTTACTGTCAAATGCATCTTATACTGAATTGCAGTTGAAGTTTGAATAACACACTGAAAAGGAAGAAATCATAATTCAAAATCACATGCATCTTCTGCATTGAAAAATCTAGCCTTTAAATAATTTCCTTATTGTGAGCCTTGTTTCATCCTATTCTCTTTTATTCATTTCATACTTTCGGCGTTACATAACTTATACGACTTTTGGAAATGCACACATTAATGACCTCTTTCATTGCAACTATTGAATAATTTTAGCTTATTTGAAGTCAGATTAAAAAAAATTTATTGTAATCATTTAAAATAAAATATCACGTCAGAATTCATTTTTTTAATTGATAATATTATGATTGTAAGGCCTTGTGAGATATAAGCAATTTATAAAATATCTAAACAATTGCTATTGTTTACCGATACATCATTTATGCATGACAGTTGTAGGGAGTGGACGAGACAGTATTATCATTTATAAAATCATTAAGATACAAGTGACTTATATACCTGGGGAAACAAAATGGAAAAATCTTTAAATCTATATTAGTGGCATGATTATAATAAAATGTTAGCGATTATTTACCTTATATAATTCGTTTTTCCAATCATTTCAGATCATAAATTTTTTAATTGTTTTCTTGTCTTTATATGCTCTACATCGGTTTGAAATGTTCTTTCAATAAATTTAATTAAAGCCCACTTTCGAGAGTTCATTTGTAATTATCGATCGCCATGCAATAGAAATGTATTTCTTACAATGATATCGATAATTCGATGAAAATATTGTTTTAAAATGAATGTTCATTAGAAATATTATGCATTTTTTGTTTGTCATACTTCTGGAATACATATATTTAACTTTTGCGCATTTTGAAAATTAAAATGTTAAAAACTGATATCGCTATCACATTTAGTTCCTTCATCAAAGAGCATTTATTCGACGAATAGGCATATAAATAATAAAAACCTTAGACACTTCTGACCACAAGAAAAGAAAGCAAATTATTTTAAAGTAATTTGATTTTTAAAGAAAGAATTTTAATAGAAATCTAAAATGAGCAGGTAATTCATAATTATTAGGGAAAGGAAGTGAATCAAATCATTTCTACACTATTTAGTAAAATAGTGCATTGAAATTGAAATATTTGATATCAATCATTAATGAAGTTATTTCAGAGCTAATCAAGCTAGTTATTGTTCCATATGATACCTATCATTCACATTCTTCTTAACACCATATCACATAACTTCTCCATCTTATCATCATAAATGCACTTTTCATTCTTCCTTTTATATCATTCACTAATTACTAAGAAATAGTTATTGACATGGTGAAAAATATAATCATGCATTTATGGATCGATGATATTACTGAAATTCGCCTAATTACTAAGCGCAAAAAGTAAATTATCAGAAAAAGAAATTAAAAACGATTTGAAATATACATAGCAGTATTGGCACTGGCAAATAGTTTGCTGTAAATTAAAATATATGACTTTATTTTTAGAAATAATTTGCTGCAAATATAAGACTGAAGGCTTTATAAAACAATTTTGATTTCATTTTTTGCAATAAATTAAAAAAAACAATAGGTTATTATGCGATGAAAAAACTATGGCAATTTGAATTTACTATCTCAAAAATACAATGTAAATTTGAGAGTTAACCGCTCATTTTAGCAGAATGAAAGAGAAGGTATAACTGTCAAAATTTTCATAAAGCAATACTATATTTACTTTTGAAACATATCAAAGATACAGTAAAATATATCAAAGATACAGTAAAATACTTCCGGTTTCTTTTTTCGGCAATTTATATTTGCTTCTTTAATGAATAAAAAAAGGAAGAAAACCCTGACTCTCTCCTGTAATTGAAATAGATTAATGTGAAAATGTATGAAAAAAGGGCAGTTATTCAATATGCGAAATAAATTTCTTTCAAAATTTGATAAAACAAACAAAAAGAAAAAGATTAAAAACAATGGAATATATTAAAAAACAACATATTTTGTCAAGAAATGTAAGCATTAAAATTTTGCAGGAAAAAAATTTCTTCAATTAATGCAAAACAGTAATAAAAAAGTATAAATTTAAATTAACATAGATTTACTATAATTAATAAAATAATATTCATTAATGGCAAGTAAATTCAGTATTCATTTAAAAGAACACTGGGAAAAGACACCCACATACACATACATACATACACACATACAAATTACACACATGCACATATTTATCAAATGCTTCACTTGTAACAAAAATATTTCACTAATTTCAGTATTTCGAAATTCCTTTCGTTGATTTAGTTGTGGTTATTTCGGTACGATAACGCTCGGTACCACCTCCAATAGTTGGCTCAAAATTATGTGACCGTTTCACCGATGTTTTCTTATCATACACTTCATCTTCAGCTGTTGTATCACTAATAATTGATTCCAAATCACGATCCTAAAAAAACTGAAGTTAAATATTTTTTCCCATTTTTATCATTAATTTTACTAAAATAATTTACCTTAAATTGTAAAACTCATTTATTTTCTTGCAAATATCATTTTCAATTTGATTGTAAAATAGTGTATCATTACTAACCGTGCTAAATTCACAGCTCCTACCAGCCGCTGTACCCCAATCACGTCGTGCATTACCGATGCTAAATTCCGCTATACTTTCACCTCTTTCCTGTTCATCTTTGCCTAACAATGAACTAGAATTATGTGTTCCAACCTGAAATTTAAAAAACAAAGAAAAGATGAGAACAAAAATAATATTTGGTTGAAAATGAATAAATTTCATCTAATGATTAAAATTCATTTGATAATACAGGTAGTTATTGCTTACATGATATTTGAATTTGGCATAAATCTCTTAACCTGACACGATGAATGAGATTCGGTTGCAACTTCAATTGGCGGATATACGTGAAATTCAGCTGTCGTATCATGAACATCAGCAGTGGTCAACGTCTTCGTGGTTTCCTTCCTTGTAACATCAGTGATCACATGCCTTTTAACTTCTTCACGTATAGTATATTCACTTGATGATTGTGATGTGGAATCATATGCATCATTATCACGATCAAGATGTACACGTGGAATACGCATACCATCATCGAGATAATCGTGAAGCCTTGATACAGCTAATGACTGATGCTGCTGATCATCCATCATGCCATTTCCGGATTTTAGTTTTGCACGTGGAATACCTGAAGAAAAATCAATAAAATACAGTATTGCTTATATACAGAAAAAATTTTAAAAACCATGTTAGAGTTTTAGAGAATTGCATAAATGTAAAATAAAAAATGCCATTAAAAAAATTAGCCTTTTAATTTCTTGCTAAGTGCATAAATTCCATACATATTTGCTAGCATAAAAAGTATATATGTATCAATTTGATGTCTACTAATAAGCAATATATAGATATATTTTTAAACAGATAATTAACCAATTTCCGGATAATATTCGTGGCCTGCCGCACTCATTGCTGAAAAGTCAGCACCACTTTCGCTTGATGTTGAAGCTTCCAGGGTTGACCAAGGCCAAGCACCTTTGCGATACGTAAATGGTCGACGGTATATTAAATTATGACGTTTGAAACAGATACATTTCGTGCAGAAATATAATAAACAGCTGCAAAAAGAAAAATAAAGCATATAATTCAGAAATTTTATCCACAGATTTCATTCCTTTCTCATTTCAGTTTTAATTTCAAAATTCAAAAAAAAATACCAAAGTGTGAGCAGAAGGAAAAGAATTGCAAGGACGACAAGTAGTATCATTGAAGCTTTTGATGGTGCCACATCACAAAATTCACCAGACCAACCATTACTACATACACAGGTAATGTTATTGGTCAAAGCATTGTGGACACAATCACCATGCGAATTGCACAGGTCGCAAAGTAATGCACCGCAAACTCGTCCTGGTTCTTCCGGATTCCCATCAACATAACCTTCCGGACAATGACATTCATAACCAATCGCTTTATCAATACACTCCGCAACACCTATAAAATGAAAATTTTTTTCACGATCAAAAATTATGGGCTACGTAAAATTTCATAAAACTTCAATCAATTTCTGAAACTTTAACTTATATTATAGGTAAAACTTCAACCTGCAATATAGATTAAGTTTCAGAATTGATAGATAATACATTTAGAAATATTTCAAAATATATATATATATATATAAAATCACTTGCAATGCTTACTTTTAAAGAATATAATACAATCAATACAACACTATCAAATTGTATTTTAATACATTTTCAATTAAATGATATTCAACAATAAGTTTTAAGAATCAAATTATAAAAAGTAATACTGAAATTATAATTAACCTGAACAATTGGTAATGCCTAATGCGCATTCATCGATATCACGCATTTTTAAACATAAAGTATCCTGATCAAACAGTTGTGTCCTTTTCTCACTTTTCCGGATATCAACATAACCTGGGTCACATTGACATACTGCTTGTTGTTCCTGATTCATGCATGTCGTATTCATTGGGCAGAAATTAATATCTGAGCAATAATCCAAAACACAAACACTTCCGGCAATGGCATCTTTAGGTGATGCATCGGTAAATGATGGTAAACATTCACATTTATAAAGGTGTTCCTTGAAATTGTTATATTCCATTAAATATTTCTATCATCATAATATTAATTAAAAACTAAAATGCTATCGTAATATTTCATTTTTTGATTGAAACTAGGCTTTTTTAATCCGGTTTCATTTAATTACTAAATTTTATTTATGTTCCATTTAAAAATAAATTGAAATTATTCAATAGTAAAAATAAGATGAATAAATCATTAAGTCATATATATGCAAACCTGGTCAATACAACGAGCATTTTCAGAGCATTCATTATCTTCTTTTAGTTCACATTCATTATAACCACTATTGGGTAAGCATCGCCTTCCAGGATCTGATGGATTCAGATCGCGATATCCTTGTCCACACTCACATCGATATGCATTCGGTCCGAGATCAATGCAAATTCCCTTCGGATGGCAATTGTTCTATAGAAGTAATAATAAATATTATTCTATAAAACAATAATAAAATTATTTTATAGTGAATTTATAACTAATGTCATTTTATGAAATCATAAAATCAATCGGTAACTAATTTTTAAATATGATTAATACTTAGAGAATAAAATAAATCAATAAATGACACTATGCATTTGTATATTTCTTTCTTTTAAAATCAGAACATGTTAAATTTCACCTTCCAGCATGCTTTAAACGGATCCGGTTGATAACTATTAATGTATAAGCCACTTTGGCCAACTTGATTATTGTTTTGATCAATAATATATCGAATAAGCATATGATAGACATCTGATGGTAGTCGTACTGATCCTTTCCGGAAATAGACGGTTGAATTGAATATAAAACCTCGATCCCATGTTGCATTAATACTCATTGGATCTATTATTTCATTAACCTGAAAAGCTGCAAATTTTTATAACATCAAAATTTTGATGCACAATTTTTGACAATTTCAAAAATATCTCACCTCTGCTGTAACAAAAGAGCTAGCTAATGCTGTATTTGGATAGCATTGTCCGATACCACTTTCAAATCGTCTGACAAATTCCTTAGTGACCGCATGTCGTGGATTTGCTAAGATATCTGTATATACCAAATTTTCGTCATTCTTCCGTATTATCCATAAAACAATATTCCATGCTTCAACCGGTCTGCAAATATCAGTTGAGGATGAGCGCTTCTCACCGTGTGTACAACCGCATAGAGATCCCGCGATGCACACCTGTAAAATAGGTAGGACAAATATGGGAACAGATAAAGTAAGTTTAAGATATGCATATATATGACATCAATAAAATTTTAACGACAGCAATTTTAACGACAATCTAAGCGATTAAAAACTGATTATGACATTTACGTTATTGTCATTTTCATCTTTAAAAATTCAGTAAAAAAAACGGAGTCGAAATATCAACTGGAATTTGATTTTAATAAATTTTAGTAAAATTGATGGAAAACATTTTGAAGATTTAACCTCTCCAAGTTCACTATTGCAAATTGCAGCACCACATTCTTCACCACGTGGTAGTTTTGGTCGGCATGGATTTAACTGATCATAATCCGGTGCTACTCGAAGTGGTCCACCACCAATAGCACCATTAGTTCGTTGAATTGATTTCGCTAATTGATCCCATAAATTGCAAACATCAGTTGGTGTTCCGGTTGGAAGAAGTGCCACCGAAAAGTTAAATAGTAAACCATCTGGCCAAGAGCTGAAAAAAAATCGTAATGATATCAGTTAATTGATACCCTTATCTCTAATGTTATCAATCTGAAAAAAATCTCCTCCTTTACAAATATAACAGAGAAAAAAACCAAGCAATAATCTTTATCTTTAAACATATGTGATATGAATTATCACATATTTCACGCAAATAAAAGCTGATCAAAAATAGACAAATTGAAGTACCTATTAACAGTTTTGGGATGAGTAATATAATTCACATCTGTGGTAACGTAACGTGTTCCATACGTGGTACTACTCATCGTACGTCCAATATCTTTTGTAAATAAATGCGTTATCTCAACATACGGTGCGCTATCACTGCTACCATATTCCGAACTATATAATAATGTTGTGGCATCTTTATTAAGGACACGAATTGAGAGTGGTATACGATCGACTGGTTCACAACGATCTTTTGTTGTTGAGCGTGCCTCACCTGGACGACACATACATCTAACACCGCCAACACATACTTCATTACGTTTGACTGCGCAATAATTGTTGCGACCACATAATATTCCGTCAATACGTGGCGAATCTCGTGGCAAAACTGTCGTAATCTTCTCTTTTTGAAATTCTGCAAAAAATTTAATTTAATTACTTCATTTGAAATTCATTATTATAAAGTAACAAAAAAATTAAAAGATTCGACTACAAGATTCAGTATATTTATTACAATAATTTTTTATACTTCACAAATAAATTTCAACATTTTATACATATCTATTCTTTTTCATTCCCTTTTTCTTTCCAGTGTTGCAACACTCTTATAGCAACTATCATTTGAAAGATAAAAAGTTCAAATTCGAAAATTTAAAGTACCAATGCAAACTCTGCCCGGTTCCTGTGTATTTGGTGAATTATCATAATATCCCGCTTTACAATGACACGTATATCCATCATCCAAATCTTCACAAACTGCAAATTTCTTATCACATGTGTTATCAGTCGCGATCGAACATTCATTAAACCGGCATATTCGTCCGGGTTGTCCCGCTGGTGACTCGTCACGATACGGTTCCTTACAACGACATTCATAACCACCTTGTAGATCGATACATTCCGCGTGCCGATCACAATCATTCAAGTTTGCTGATTCACATTCATTGATAACTGTAAATTTATCAATGGATAGTGCAGTTATTACTTAATCTATCATCAATTAATTTATGTGCTATTTAATCAGATATTTAGGATTAGAGTTGCAGAAACTTAGTTCAAGTTCTTAAGTATCATTGAGTTATAGTATAGCTAAAGTTAATGCAACTTATGATAGATATAAAAAATGGAATATTATTATCATCAATATCAATGTCTATTTTTTTATACCAACTTTTAGGAACTGCATTACTGAGATTTTAATCCATGATAAGAAATCAATAAGATTATCCATGTTTCTTATCTAATTTTTTTGCTCCATTTATTAATATTATTACTTCGAACTATTAACTAATTTTTGAAATTCTATTACTTATAATTAATCGTATTAGGCTGCAAATACTTTTTTTCTTCTTTTCTTCTAATATACAAGTGTTTCTCCTTAATTTTTTTAAGATTTCTAATTACTAAAAGGTCATTTATTAAGCACAATATATTCTATATCCTTTTCTTCCTGCCTCGTTTTAAATTTTGTTTTCGAACTACAATCAATGCAAAGTATATTTTATGAGTAACCTTACGTCTCTCTAAAACATCTGAAGCTTTGAAATAAAATTTGTCAGAGAACTTACTGTAAATACATGTAGTACCGGGGTGTTCTGGATTACCATCATGATATCCATCACGGCAATGACACTCATAACCTTCATTTTTATCGGTACAATCTGCGAAACGTGAACAGTTATTTAGTGATGGATTTCGGCATTCATTTACTTGCTGGAAACATTTACGTCCAGGCCTATTCGGATTTGGTGACTGATCGACAGAATTTAGTGGACAACGACATGTATAGCCATCTGGTAAGTCTTGACAAATAGCCAACACATCACAATCATTTAATGAACGATCCAAACATTCATTCATCTAAAATTTAAAATGTAAATTTTACACTACAACTGAATGAAAATATTAAATAATGTGATATTTAAGTAATATGATTCCATATTCATTATTTTATAAGCCATTAGCTTTACCTCGTAATAGCTTTTTCTAAAACTTATATAAAAGTTGGAAACTTATTGAGCATCCGTTAAAAATAATATAATGAGCCAAATGATTCGATATGCATAGACAAAAAGATTTTAAATTTAAACAAATGCAAGTGCAATCATAAATTTGGTAATATTTAATTTATATACTCGAAATAATTTAAGGTTATTAAAATAAATTATGAAAGGAATGGTAAACAAACTTGTTCAACACAAATTCGTCCCGGTCGTTTAGTCTTATCCGGTGATTGATCAATGTAACCATCCCGGCAACGACATGTATACTTTTCATCATTTTGTATTTCACTACAAATAGCAGCCGGATGGCAATCATTCTGACTTGAGTCCAAACAAATCGGTTCTGTAAGAATGCAAACACGGCCTGGCTTATTTCGAGTATCCGGTGAACGATCTACGTAACCTTGTAAGCATTCACAAGTATATGTCTCTTTTCCGGTTGCACGACATGTTCCAGCTGGATGACAATCATTAAGAAGTGGATCTTGACATGGGTGCTCTGAAATTCAATAATTTTAATTTTTGAAATAAAAAAGGGTACGAAATGTTTAAATTAACATTCCGACTAATTTAATTTTGTTGTTAAATAATTTCGTAGTTGAATATTTAAAAACTGATGAAAAAAATTAATTTTTTATAAACAATATCAATAAGAGAAAATAATTGTTTCATTGGCAATCATAAGATACTGCATAGTTAGTCCATATATTTCATTATTATTTCAAATTTGAAAAATTTATTTAAATGATACTAACTTGGTGATGGTGTAACAGGTGCAGGTGGTTCACAAACATATCCCATTTGTGTTCCATCAGGTGAACGATCAACATAACCATGTGCGCATTCGCAACGATATCCTTTTGCTTCATCGTAACAAATAGCATTACGTGAACAATTATTCAAACGTGGGTCTCGACATGCGCTATCTGAATATTCATTATCAAATATTAATTTTTTAATAAAAAAGGCAAGTATTAGAAAATAATTTTAAAAGTATTCAAAAAGTGAAATAAAAATTTGTTATATAAGTAATAAAATGTAATAAAACAAAAGAGATATCTCACTTCGAACACAAATTCGTCCTTTTTCTCCGGATGGCGATTGGTCCAGGTAACCTTGTATACAGGTACATTCATATTTATTACCACCAAGAGGTTCACATGTAGCCGCTGAACTGCATTCATGGTTTGATGGACACACTTCTGAAAGATTTTCGCTTTAGTTATTAATTATTCAACAAAATTTTAAAAATATTTACCCATTTTTTAGTCGATAACTTGAAATTCATTAAGAACTTTTATTTATAACAAATATTTCAAATCAAAGAACTTACCTGGCGTACCGCATACTCGTCCTGGTTGTGTAAGCAAATTGGGTGATCGATCAATAAATCCATCTTTACATTCACATGTATAACCCTCTTCTAAATCACGACATTCCGCTTGAGCGCTACATGTATGTCTTTTACTTGCGCATTCATCGATAAGCTGTAGAGCATTTCAATTCATTTACTAATTAGCTAAATTACTTGAAATAATTTAGTGACATAAGTTTATTATTTTATAACAAATCAAATGGGATGAGTTTATTATATTATAATAATTCGAATAGAACTTATCAAAATAATCCTAAAGTATTTTTTATTCAATTTCAAAAAAGTTCATATTTCCATGAGAGATTTATATTATCATCAAGGATCCGTAATTCAAGGATCACTGTTATCTTTTGAAATGTTTCCAATTTTTTTCCAAAAAATTTGCATCATTCTCTTAATATCACTGATAACGGTCATCTTTGAAACACGAAAGAAATACTTTCACCATCTTAATTATTTAGAATTCAAAAGTCGTTTTTAAACTGAAATTAAAATTTTTAAACTCATGCCATTAAATATATATTTACATCATCAAATACTACTAACCTCCACACATACACGACCCGGTCGACTGAGACGATTTGGTGATCGATCAGTGAATCCATGCGCACATTCGCATGTAAATGATTGTTCATTATCACGGCAAATTGCATTTGGATCACAATCGTGCTTACCGGTTAAGCATTCATTTTCAACTTCAATAAAAAAATTTAATTTTAATTTAGGTAAATATGAATTTAAGTAAGTATATGTATAAGTTCAACTTGAATATATGCTTTTTTTAAAGTAAAGAAATCAATTAAATTCAATAAAATATAGATAAGAGGTAAAACTTATATTACGGCTTGTTATTCATTCTTTCACATTCAAATTTTTAATTTTAAACTTCAATTTTTAATTTTCATATTTTCATTTAAACAAATGTTATATTTATTCTTAAGATATCACTGCAACTTTTGAAATTGCAAAACTTACAAACAAGACATACACGACCCGGAAATGCTGGATTTGGTGAGATATCCTTCGAATCTGCTGGACATTCACACTGATAAGAATCTGTGGTATCAGTGCATTTTGCTGTCTTATCACAGTCATTTAATTTAGGATCGGAGCATCTGTAGGAAAATAAATTATAATGTTTAACATGATTAGTAGCAGTAACAGATCACATTCAATATGTATTAAAATTTTAAACTATAGAAGAATTTAATCTGAAATTTGGGAGTTTTCGAAAGTTTAAATTAAGTTTCAAATTTTAGAATTAATAAATTCATAGTTCCATCTATTTTTCCAAGAGTTAGATAATTTTAAATTTCGAAAATTTGCAAGACATACTCATTGATGAGTGCACGACATGCACGACCACGAAGTGTTGGTGAGGGTGACACATCCAGAAAGCCATCTTTACATTCGCAACGATAGCCATCTTCTTCATCGATACAATTTGCGTTCTTATCACAACTAAAAATAATCCATTTTTGCTATTTAAACATAAAATAAGAAACTAGAAATTTGGAGAAGTTTCATTCCATATATATTATTATTTTGTAAAAATTAGAATACCTATTAAGTTCTGCCTTTGCGCATTCATCAATCATTTTCTTGCACAATCTTCCGGGACGTTCCGGTTTCCGATCCATATAACCATGATTGCATTTACATTCATAACCATCTTTCTTATCAATACATATCGCATTTTGATGACAATCATTTAGATGTGGCAATTTACATTCATTAATATCTACAATGATATGATAGTTAAGCTAATATTCTTATTTATTATTTAATTTGCGCTATTTACAGAACATTTTCCTAGAAGTTTTTCTATTCTTGAAATTCTCAATAGTTATCATATCTGTTCATTTGACTAATTAATTAGTTAAAAAAAAAGAAATTGATGAACTATCTTTCTAATTAAGAAATATTATCGGTATGTGAAAAAATTTTGATGTGTAAACAAAAATATGTTAACAATGTGTAAATAAAATATGTAAATAAATAAATACATACATGGTTGACAGATACGTCCTGGTTTATTATTGGTGGATATATCTTTGAAGCCTTCTTTGCAATGACATGTAAATGAGGTAGGCTCATCGATACAATCAGCATTTGGATGACAGTCATTTAATTGAGGGAAGTCACATTCATTGATAACTGTACACGATTTCGTCCCTTCATCTCGACTATAGTTTATTGGACAAGCACACTTCGGTTGACCATTAATTAAACGGCAAACCTTCACAAATTTTGAAGTAAATTAATCATATTATTACTATTATTATCATTAATTATAGCTACCGTAACGATGACTACTAATTACCGCTATAGCAATGGCTACTAATTATGTCTTTTAATATTAATAATTTAATGAACATGTCATTTTTTATGTGGCTATTATAATAAAATCAAAGAATTCGAAAATCTTATATTTAAATTTGTAAAGTTATGAGGAAAAGATTTTACAACAAAAATTAGGGTATAAAATTTGAATTGAAATTGAGAATTCAACTGAACTCACTTCATTCAGTTCTTGTTTGCAAGACGATGCGCCTGCATCGATACGACATTCTGCCGGTGGTGGAGTTGGTCTTGGAGTGCACAAACGTCCAGGTGATGCAACACGATTCGGACTTTGATCAATAAATTCAGTCTTGCAATGACAGGTATAACCTTGTGGTAAGTCTTGACACACAGCATGCTCATGACAGTCATGCTTTCCAAGTCGGCATTCGTCAATCAATTCAGGTCGACATAATCGTCCCGGACGGTTCGTGATATCCGGTGATTCATCGACAAAGTCATCCCGACATTTGCACATAAATGACTCGGCTGTATCTATGCAGTCTGCATTCGGTGAACAATCATGACGATTTTCTTTACATTCATTTATTCCTGAAAAGATTTAACTCATTAAATTTCAAATTTTTGAAACAATTATTAATCAACTTTAAATCAGTAAAAAATTAGTGAAATTGAAATCTTCTTTTTCCTGTTGTTTTGAAACTTACTCAATAAGCAACGTCTTCCGGGCTTTCGGGCAATATCCGGTGATACATCAATGTAACCGGTTGGACAAGCACATTCATAGGAATCTTCTGTATCCGTACATATTGCTTCAACGGAACAATCATTCTGTCCGGTTTGGCATTCATCGATAACTGAAAGTTTTCTCAAGCAATGCCAACATTAAAAGAATTTCACTACTTTCAAAATAAAATTTAGGAATATTAAAAAAAATCTTGCATAATTCGACTTAGATCTGTTGTTTTCTCATAACAATTTCATAATTCCTCTAATAGAAGTAAGGAAGAAACAAAAAACTGACGTCGTTTGCATTTTCGACCTGGACGGTTTTGACGATCGAATGATACATCCAAATAGTTAATTGCGCAACGACACGTATAAGAGTCTGGCGTATCCTCACAGATTCCACCATCTCGAGCGCAATCGTCAACTTTCTTGGCGCATTCGTTTTCTACTAAAAATTTTCATTAGTATAGATAACAATTCGAACTGAAATGAATGAGAACATAAATGATTTCTAAAGTGCAAAAATTAGTGATGAATTAAATTTACATGGTTTGCAAAGACGCCCAGGTTTGGAAGTAATATTTGGTGAAATATCCAGGAAACCCTGTCGACAACGACATAAGTAGCCTTCATCAGTATCAGTACAGATAGCACGATCTGGCGAATCACAGTCGTTCAATGTCGGATTATCACATTCCGGAATTACTAAAAAAAATTACATTTAAAATTAGATAATAACAAATTAAAGTTCTCAAAAATTTTTGAAAGAAAAAAGAAATGATTGTTTAAAACATACAGGGAATACACACTCGTCCCGGCCGGTTTGGATCTGGACTTTTATCACGATAACCTGATGTACAAGCGCAAACATAATCGTTACCATTACGCTCAATGCATCGCGCATTTCGATCACAGTCATTATTACCTTGTCTACAGCGATCATTATGCCTTTCTACAACATTACATTATCCAAAATATCAAAATTAAAAATAAAAAGAATCATGCTAACGTAACATTAATTTATTAATCAGTCATCGGTTAACTCCGCCTCTTTTATCATTTATGAAGCAAAATAATCAAATTGATGTTATCGACTTGTATTTAAACTCCTTTAAATATTTTTAATATGTAATAATTTGCAGTAAATAACCTTTCTGACAATTTTTTCCTGGATTTCGAAGTTCATCCAAATCTGTATATCCTGTTTTGCAAATACATTTATAGGAATCAGCTGTATCAATGCAGATCGCATTCTTATCACAAGTATTGAGAGAAGGATTCTGGCATTCATTTACAACTTCCTTACAAACGGTACCACCGAAACTTTAAAAAGCATTTATTAATATAAGTAAAAAAGTAAAAAAAAATAAGATATTTGAAGTCAATCAATATTGCTATACTTCCTGGACAACTGAACTTCCACTTACATCAGTAAATAACTGGAAATAAAATTTCGCTATTTGGTGAAATTAATAAATGTTATACATACCTTTGGGGATTTGGTGAGAAATCAATAAATCCTGGCTTACAACGGCAGATATATCCCTGTACCGTATCCGTACAAATAGCATTTGGTGAGCACTTATGTGTACCATCTTTGCATTCATTCCTTTCAGCTACACAAATACGTCCTGGTTTATTAACTAGATCTGAACTTTGATCTAAGAAACCGTTCCGGCAGGCACATAAGTATCCATCATCCGTATCAATGCAGCGAGCATTTTTGTCGCAGTCATTAGCACCCGAAGCGCATTCATTTTGTACTATAATTATATTTGTAATAATTTATTTATTGATACAGAGATGCTAAAATAAATATTTTGATCCTTTTGACTTTGAGATATTGACCCATATCTGAACTTTTAACTTTACAAAAAAAAATATTCTATTAATGAAAATTCTGAAAATGTTCCCATTTCAATGTGGTCAATAATGGTAATGCTAATCTGAAAACTTTCGGAATTTTATGATAGATATTTCATAATACGTAATATATACATATATGTTTAGTAAGCATTTACTTGCAACTTAGTCTTTTAATTTTAATAATTTATAACTTTTAATAATATCGAGTAAATGAATCAATGAAGTATTAGCTTACAACAAATCCCGGTAACGTGATGACGGTTTTCGCCCTCAGCACATTGGCACAAATGATAGCGTCCGCTGGAATGCGGCATGCATTTTTCACGTTTACGAATATCGCAAGGATTCGGCGATGCTGGATCACAAGATCCTGGTACAGAACATTCACCAGTATGCAAATTACGTTCATATCCAAGGGTGCATTCACACTGTAACAAATAAAGATAGTGATTCATCATTAAATTACTTTGTACGATTTATTCCTTATTCAATCTTCATTACCAGTTATCTTAAGAGAATGATAAATATGCTGTTGATACACTGATATTTTTGTTGCAACATATTAATGATAAGGATGCATCAATTGGTTTATTTATTTTCGATTCTTAAGCTTTATTGATCACTTATAAATTTTGAAGAAAAAAATGGAATTTGCGATGAAAATGGCTATAATATGAATTTGCTTACGTGAAAGTTATGAGCTGTACCACGTACGCATTCTTCATTCGTGCCACATCGTACACCGCCATTGCGGCAATCAGCGTCATGTGACAATAATGTGGTTGGCTCCCTTTGTTGTTTTGCTTCATCAGTACTGGCTACTAAAATTTCCATACTCATTGAAATTTAAGTTTAAACTTAAATTTTAAATTCAAATTTAAATTTAAATTCATTTTAATTTTAAATTAAATACTTACAGGTTTGATCAAAATTAACATTTTATTGCAATTGATTTTAAAAATACAACTAACAGCAAATTCCAGTTCGCTGATCACGTAAGTAGCCTTTTGGACAAACGCAAAGATGATTTGAAAATTGCGCAACCGTGCATATTTCTGGATGTGGACATGATGTGGGCAAATCCGGATTACACTGATTACCTCCACAACGACGAGTGCTTGGATGCCGTTGAAATCCTTTTGGGCAAACACATTGCGCAGAACCATTAGCCTATAAAATGAAAATCCGATAATGTTAAGCCAGAAAAACTGCTTCTGAGATTTCGAAACCTTAAGCCTGAAGCAATGAGAAAGGAGAATTTAACAAAACTGGACCTGCATGCAAACTTCATTTAGTGCACGGTCGCAACCAGTTTGTGCTGCCGGATTACATCCACCAGGTGGACGCGGCTTCGGTTCTGGCGACGGGCAAGCTGCTTTCTGGATTAGAGATCGTAGTCGAGTATCCAAATCCCTGAATTTATCAACGTGGAACCACCGCGATGGTGAGCCTGCTATTGCTTCTAATTCCGATCCCAGAACGTGATCCGTCACACCAACCGAAAACATATTAATATGCGAATTGCGAGCATTTATAGCAGGTTCTGTAACATTATCCTGACTACGACCATCAGTAATAACGATGCTCACACGTGCGACATCTTCACCTCGTTTACGAGCACCACGTCGTTCTGAGAAACCTTCCATTACCATATGTTGAATAGCGGAACCAGTCCTAAAATACGAAACTTTTCAAAAATAAAAATAAAAAAAGAAAAAATGGAAGGAAGTACGCAAATTTTGATATTAGGAAAAGTAAACAGGAAAATTTCCATTAAAATATTTTAGTCGGAAAAAAGGAAAATAAAAAATTTTGAAATCACTTCACTAACCTTGTAAGACCCGTTAAATATTGAACTTGTGATATGGCACTAATAACCGATTCCTTATCAGTATATTGGTTTAAATCAAACTCATGCCTAATTTGATCAGAATATTGTATCAAACCAACACGTGTATTATCCAAGCCAACATCAAATAGTTCCACAAACTCTTTAATAAATCGTAGTACCTATGAATAATTTCATTTCATAATTATTAATGCTAATTTCGATCTTTCATTTAATCTTAGAAATTGCAAAAATTGATGATTTGGTAATAATTTTTTTCTAATGAAATGAAAAGGGAAATTCGATGATAAATATGCCTATGATTAGATTATGTTTCTTTTTCAAATTTCAATTTGATTAATTTTTAAATCTCAAATAAGGTGCGTAATATTCAAGTTATTTTAAATGAGTTATTGTTTTCGCAAGAATTATCTTTTTTAAAATCAATGTTAGAAAATATTTTTACTTCATTTTTGAAAACATAGGAACCAATTGATCCGGAACCATCAATTAGAAACATGAGATCAGTTTTCTGCTTTGGACAAGTGGTTTGTACCGTACATACTCGACCAGGTTGTAAGTTAGCACTAGATGAAACATCAACAAATCCTGCATAGCATTGACAAGTATAGGAATCCGGTGTATCAATACAATCCGCATTTTCATCACAGGTATTCAAAGTTCGATCAAGACATTCATTACTGGCTAAAAATAAACTTTGAGAAGAGTGAGAAAAAAATCGATAAAAAGTATTAAAATTCATTACCTCTAATATCGCAACTGTTGAAACTTCAATATTTTCATCATAATAAAAGAACTGTATAGCCATGCAATATATATTTTTTAATTTTATTAAAACAATATGCTGACAGATTAAATTAACCGAAAAGAAACTTCAAATACCAACTTTTTAGCATTTATCCGGTTAATTTATCCTTTTAACTTCATTAATTACCGAAAGTCTTTTTTTTCTTGGAAATATTTCCTGAAAATCTAACCATTACTGCAACGACGTCCAGGTGCTAATTGAAATTGTGATGATGTATCAACAAAACCATCATTACAAGCACAGATGTAACCATCAGTTGCATCAATACATGTTGCATAGGATGAACAGTTGTGAATTCCCGTAGCGCATTCATTAATCACTTCAATTAAATGAAAATTTTCATTTTAAAAAAAGTAAAATTTTTTTTGAAAAATTAAAATTTTATAACAAAGGCTAAAAATTTTGCTTTTCTTTCATGGCAATCTGAAATGAAAATAAAAAAATTAAGAAGTTCCTACATTCTTTGCAAATTCTGCCTGGCTTTCCTTCCGGATCCGGTGAAATATCAATAAATCCAGGACGACATTGACATATATAAGAATCAAAAGCATTAGCACAAACTGCATTCTTATCGCAATCATTTACACCAACACAAGCAGCATAGACTAAAATAAAATAATTGAAAAATAAAATTAGTAACGGGTGGTTACATGCCATACATGAATTCCGAATTTGCACTTCGATAAATTAGTTAATTTTTTTCCTTAAATTGCAGAAAACAAAAGGATAATTTATTGGATAGTTATAGCTCATTTTTACAAATAAATATATCATTTTTTCATTATCATCAAATCTTTCAAATGATAAAATAATGAAGAAATGATAATTTATAATAATTTTTCTTCACTTACTTGAAAATATCATCAATTATCACTAATTTTTTTCATTACCTATCATATAACCTTATCAAATTTCGATATATAATATGAATGATAACATACATCGGCATGTATTATCTGTAAATCTGAAAGCATTCTCAGCGCAATCACAAACAAATTTCCCACGTGCTTTACGATCAGTACATGCTTCATTAGTGCCACATTTTGGTTTATCAGGATTGCAAGTGATTAAAGAGCCTTTTGATGCGCTATCATCATTAAGATTCTCTTGCTTAGGCTTACGACATACTCGGCCTGGATAGTGCGTGATATTGTGCGATGCATCGACAAAACCTTGTAGACATGTACAAATATATCTGAAAAGATAAAGATATCCATTAAAAAATAAGTTTCACAATTTGTTTTTTTATTTCTCTAAATTTCATCGATAATTTATTCAAACTTTTAAAATTTAAAAAATCATAGAGTTATTATCTTTTTCAAAAAATGTTTAATATTAACAATTTGATTAACTTCAACAGGTAATAAATTATAACATTTTCAAATTCCTATAATATCCTACAAATACCTTCCAAAATTTCATGCTGTTGTTTCTTTTTTTAATTGATTAAATAAATTAAGATTTTGTTGTAAATTTATACCCTTCTTTAGCATCTTCACAAATAGCATTCTCTGAACAATCATTCAATGATGAATCCAAGCATTCATTTATCGCTTCAACGCATCGACGACCAGGTAATCGTTCAAATGAACTCGATATATCGGCAAAACCGGAACGACAACTACAAGAAATAATTTATAAACTTATTTGTAACAATCTTTCATGGAGAATGTAATTGGTATCAAATTAGAAATTCGAAATGTAAACGACATTTAATACTTATATATATATTAAGAATATGAAATTTAATTTAATATATACACATGTACCTGCATGTATACTCTTCATCTGTGTCAATGCATGTAGCATTAGGGTCACAGTCGACATGATATTTTTGTGGTTCAGCGCATTCATTTACTCTAGTACGACAAATGCGCCCAGGTGTATCTGGTGGTGATATATCCGCAAAACCACTTTTGCATTGACAGATATAACCATCAGCCTATAATAATGTTAAGCTAATAAAATTTAATATCAATCAAAATTTTCTGTTTGTTTTTCGTTTTTTTTTTTAATAAAAACTCTTTCTTGAAATGAATCTACCTGATCAATGCAATTAGCATTTGAAGCGCAATCATTGAGGCGTTGATCATCACATTCATTAATTACTAAACATCGACCATCTGGTAAACGATCATATCCGGTTGGACATTGGCATTTGTATGTACCATTAACAAATAGGCACACTTCTTTTTTCTTCGCATCACAACTCATCGGATCATTGACATCACATTCCGGTGGTTCCGGAATAAGTGCTAAAAAAGATTTTAATATAAAAGAATTTGTATTTATGTATATTTGTAAAGCAAACATTGAAATTTTAATTATAACTGAAAATACTTTTCTTTTATAGCATTTTGAAATGGATGTTTTGTTTTTTAACCTAAATTTCGTTATTCAATTACGGTATTTTTGAAAGTTTAAAATTTCTCGTTTCTCTTCTTTTTGCATGTTTTTTCTCTTAACCTAAATTCCATTATTCAGTTACTGTATTTTTGAAAAAGTTCAAAATTTTCTTTGTTTCTTTTACTTTTTTCATTTGACATTTGAAGCAATAAATGAGAACAAAACATATATTCACTTTAAACTAATTAAACTTTTTAATGTATTTTATCACTTTAAATTAATAAAAATTACTTTTCGCTCAACTAATGTAATAGCTATTTGACAATTCAAATTCATTAACCGAAATTTCAAACAAACCTCTGACGCATACTCGTCCAGGACGATTAACAGAATCTGGACTTTCATCACGAAATCCATCACGACAACGACAGGTAAATAAATCAGCTGTATCAATACAGGATGCAGAAGATGAGCAATCATGTTTGCCAGTTGCACATTCGTTTATTACTCTTAAAGGAATCATACTTAGTCCTGAACGGTAAGTTTATCAAATTAATGATAACAATTATTTTAGATAGAATCTACACCGTATAAACATGACTATGAATGAAATAAGATTTATTTAAAAAATTTCCAAATTCTACTTACTTTCGACAAACATGTCCTGCAGCCATGCCATGTTGTCGAGAAATATCAATGTAACCTGAAAAACATTCACAAACCGGTCCAAATTCCGTTTCACGACATTCAGCTTCTTTGGCACATTGAATATTGGCACATATGTTGGCTGGAAAAAAAAAGATATAATTTGCATATTCAATTAAAAATGATTTAATTAAGCAAACAAACAAAAGTTATATGAATTTCAGTCACTTTCAATGCTGTCAAATGTTGAAAATAAATTTAATTTCAACAAATTATTATCAAACATTAATTAATTTTGTCCATCAAATTTTATGATGAATGAAAGATTTTCTCCAATTAATCTCTAATTTGCTACTTGCAAAAAGATAATTATAATAGTTAATCTCGTTAAGCTTACTCTTATTCAATCTGTTGGATTTAAAATCAAGTTTGAATCGTATTCAATTTTTCATGGTTATAAATTAATCAACCAACGTACCTTTCTTGCATTTACGCCCAGGCGCACGGTGACGATCCAGACTATCATCGGTCCAACCTGGCTTACACTGACAATTGTAACCATCCAATGTATCTTCACATTTTGCATTCTCATCACATTCATGGGTACCAAGAACACATTCATCGATTACTGAAAAATTGATAACTTTCAATTAAATTTAAATTAATAATATCTATCGGTTAGTCCAAAATATGTTATGAAAGAATCAAACTAATAGTTTCTTGGAATGAATTACTCAAAGTAATGATGAGTTTCTGAACTTTTTTCCTACAACTTATTCTAATGCTGTCAACAATATAAATTCTGTTTAATTTTCTAAAATATTAAAATTTAAATTATTATTTAAATTATTCATTAAATTTAAATTGTTTTGTAAATGTGAGCATAAAAATTAACAAATAACTTATCTTTTTAAATGTTCTTTTAAAACAAAGAAAGTTTAATTGCTCATTCACATATTTAATTAACATCACTTATTTTTACATACGTCCTTGCATATTACGACAATTTACACATTGGAGTAAGAAAGATATTACAATTAAACTTTCATTTAAACAAAAAGAAGAGAGAGAGAGAGAGAGAGGAAAAATATTCATTTGACATTCTTTCCTATTTTTCACTTTTATCTTAGCGATGACCCATAAAAGGTCAATCTTTTACATTTCATAATTAATTTCAATTCAAAAATTTATGACAAAAAAGAAGAAAAAGACAATGTAAACAATTTTCAACAGAATTTTCCTAAATTTTAATTTTTTTAAATTTTAATTTTTTCTAAATTTTAATTTAAATTTTAATTAAATTTTAATTTTAATTTAATGGAAATGAATGGAAAAAAAATTGTTTTGAAATGATTTTTTATTGACTAAAAAATGGAAAATATTTTAAAATTTATTTTCCATTGAAATATTTTACTGTCAGAAATACTTTTCATATTATTTGAAAAGTAAGAAAGAAAAGGTTTCTTTCGAATTATCGAAAGAAGGAAAAGTTCATTCTCTCTCTCTCTCTCTCTCTCTCTCTCTCTCTCTTTATCCTCTCTGTGCCACCCACTCATCCCATTATTTCTCTTTTTTTCGTAATACAGCAAAAAATTATCATTTTTATTATTATTCGAAAATTTTCGAAATAATCTTGAAGAAAGAGAAAAAGAGTCCAAAAAAAGAAGAAGAAGAGAAAGAAAGAAAAAAAGAATCAAAAAATTGAAAAATGCAAAATTATTCAATTTGCATTAAAATCTTTTAAATTAATTTGCCTTAATTAACAGAATTAATGAATCAATAAATTTCATGCTTTTTATATCCCTCCATTTTGGTTCATTGTTACCAGAATACACACACATACACACACACACACACGCACAAATATATCCAATTATTAGACGATCAACAAGATGTCGAAATAAATATGCGAATATAGTAATGATGATGAGATAGAATCTCTTTCTCTCTCTCTCTCTCTTTCTTTTTCTCTCTTTCAATCTTACAATAATTAACGATTAAAATTGATTCATCATCATCCTCATCGTTATTATCATCATCATCATCCTTAAAATGTCATCATTACAGTTGTTACTACTACTCAATTATCTGCAAATAGTGATTTTCAAATACTTTTTCATCTTTCATACACTATCACCTTTCTCTTCCGTCGTCATCATTTTCTTTGGGTAAAATATTTGATGAATGACATTAAAAAATCTCATTAAAAGTTTCGCTTTCAAAATTACATCATAATTTAATAATAATGATAATAATTAATAACTAATAATTAATAATAATAATAATGACTCAACACTTCTAACTTTATCAGTTTAAATTGAATTTTTTCTTAGTAATAAATTATGAAACAATGATGTATTGAAATGCAAATTAAATTCAAATTCAAATATTGCATCACTTTTTCATCAACGATTTTTTTCCATTCATATTTTGTTAGGAATTTAAAGAGCAAAAAAGATGGGATGTGTAAAGTTGCATTAGTTGCCGGATGATATGTGCCACAATTTCTATGGATTGCTATCACTCTTTCAAATTATTTGGAATTTAAATTAGATTATTCATAAGTTCAAAGTAGGGAATGCTACTTTTACGACTAACTTTTTTTGCATTTTCTCCCGGGAAAGCGTGAATCGGTCGAAATATCAGCAAAACCATTAGGACATCGGCATTGAAAATAGCCCGGTTGTTCGCTGTAACATTCTGCTATCGGATCGCAATCATTCAACGAATCATCCTGGCATGGATCCGATACTGAAAAGTTAATAATGTTTTCATTTTGATTGAAAATTAATTCAAGGTGAAATAATTTGAATTTCACTTGAAATAATATCAACTAATAAATAGAATTATGAATTAAGCGAAAAGTGATTTCAAATTTCTGAATTCAATGCATAATTTATCAGTTACTAACAAAAGGTCAACTATTTCTTGTTAATTTCAACATAATTTGTCAGTTTCAATTTTATATTTCAACTACTAATTAGAAAGTTTTTGAAATCTTTTACCAATTAAAATTTCCGATATTTTGATTTATATTTTCGTGATATCCTATTACATATTTCATAGTATCCTAATTACCTAATTACCTTTTATCCGTATCCTAATTACCTTTTATTACATATAAATATAATATAAAATTTGATTTTAAATTTGGTCCAAAAAATTCCTCCAATTTATATCAAAATGAATTCCTTTTTATAAAAATATTTTGATTAAATATAAGTAAACCTAAAATTTTTGTAAATTATATATAAATGGAATTAAAAATTATATGCAATTAAATTTGTATTTTCATTCTTCGAATCATTTCGATAAGTTATTTCCGAACGTATCATTTCAAAGTGTTATTTTATTCATTACATTTTCTGACGCTAATCATCCAAAATTATTTTATCATTTTATCTTGTCATCTTATCATAATTTTATTACACTCTCACAAGCAATTTGAAGAAATTGTAATGGCAAAAGATAAAGTTATATAACTTTGCTTAAGTTAGGGTAAGAATGAAATATTATTTAATTTAATAATTGAATACAAGAAATGCAATAACGAATTAATTAATTACTTTTATTCCGTCACAATGAGAGAATTATTATTTCGTGTAATTTATTTCCATTTATAACTTTGTCATAAATTTTCAAAATTTGTTACTATCAATGTTTTCCGGCCTATTTACCTGACATTGCTATGATTTAATGTAAGAATTTACTGCATAATGCATTCATTCATTTATCACACATTTTGGCAAACCACAAGCATAATAAACCCACCTAAAGCATAATATTTTTAAACATTTCAAATTTTCATCATTTAAATTTTGATCATCAAGAAGAAGAAAATTAGTAAAGGAAATATAAAATTTTAATTCAGGCATATAATGATGATAATAACAATAATGATAACAGATAATAACAATAATAATAATAATAACAATAATGATAATAATAATAATTAATAATAATAATAATAATAATAATAATAATAATAATAATAACAATAATTAATAATAATAATAATAATAATAATAATAATAATAATAATAATAATAGTAATTTAACAATAATATTGATTTCAAATAATAAAGAATGTAAAATATTAATAATAAAGAGATGTGAAAATGTATCATTGATAATGATAATGATAGTGATAATAATAATGATGTCCAAATAATTTTTCAATCCAACTATCATAGAAATTTTTTGTATCTTTTATTTACAAATAACTAACATATCAGTAAGATATTAAAAAAATAATAAAAGAAAATTACGAATTCGAATAAAATTCGGTGATTCATTTCATCAAAATAAAGAGTAATTAGCACTATAAATGAGTCATATTCCCATTATTCCTCTCTTTCTCACACATATTTTTACAAAGAAAAAAAGAATGAAGAAAGAGTACATGAAAATAAGGAAAATAGAATGAAGTGATAATGAAAAAAAACAAAAGAAAATAATATGTTATATAATACTTATGATAGATACAGAAAAGGAAAGGAGGAAGGTAAGAAAGAAAATGAAAAGAAAATTTTTGAAATTTTACTTTGTTTGTGGACAAACTGGATATTATAAGACATAGCTTGTCGGAGGAGTGGAAGAAATCGGCACAAGTTACCATTTTCCATTTTCTACTTCACTTTTTTTGTATGTTTCACTGCTTTTCTCATAGATTTTGTATGTTACAACTGTGAGATATATTTATTTCTTTTTTTCTTTTCTCAAATGTATGAATTCATTTGAATGATTTGCTGCCAGCAAATAGAAAAAAGAACGGAGGAAGGAAGTGAAAATGAGGAAAAGAGAATAGTGAGAGAGGTGAGGAAGAAAATGAGAAGGAAAAATGATTAAGTTGAAAATATAAATAAATCTTACGGAATTAGGGAAAGCCGGTTCAGGAAAAGAATGATGACCTGATATTATATGATTTTGCAAATTCTTTTATTCATTTCAAATTAATAATGAAGAAGTAATAATAATATATCGCATTGATTTTAATAATTATTGCAAAATGTTGTCAATATTAGTATTTTCTAATTTGAATAATTTAAATTTACTTTTCTTCTTCTTTGTAATTTCATAAAATTTCCACAAAGTAAATTAAACAATTAATATTTGAAATAATAAAAATGACATTTGAAAGGATTTTAGTTTTTAGGATGACTGAAGAGAGATAAGGAAACTATATTTCTAATACGTATCATGTGGGTGGCAACAATTTTGTACACACAAAGTTAAAATTTTGAAAAAAACAATAATTTTTATTTTTTACATAAAAAGCCTACAAAATATTTTATCATTAAAATTTCGTTAAAAAGGAAAAATTTAATTTTCAAAATTTGAAAAGTTTAATTTAGAAGTCTCAGTTTAATTTAAAAAAAATTTAATTTAGAAATTATATTTATATATGTATAATTTTGGTCTAATTTTCACTTTTCGTTTACTCATATTATTTATGGAAAGTTTAAAATTTTAATTTTATGTGTACAAAATTGTTGCCACCCATATGATACGTATTAGAAATATAGTTTCCTTATCTCTTTTCAGCCATCATTATTATATTCTTAAAAACTAAAAAATTCAGGACATCGTTATCAGTGCGATTACTTATTGTCATTTAAAACACATTCATAAATCTTTGATAAGAATTAAATATCAAAAATAAGATTTAAATTTCGAAATATGATGATGATCTGTCAATGCAATCAAAAAAATGAAAAAATAAATAGATTAGAAAAAAAATGATGACGAAAAATAATTAAACAACCTGAGCTTGTTACCTGTTTAATTAACTGATTACTCATCAATGGAATTTCCAAGGTAAATTCTTATATAATTTATCAAATTAAAGAATATAAAACTATGACGATGATTGTTTTGAATTAACCGTTTCCGGTTATTCGTATCTTGCACTAATGGAATTTGTAACCCAATTTTCCAACATAAAGCACAATTTCTTACAGTCTACCGGAAGAATCAAATTAAATACAAATAATAGCATTTCATACATTCTTTTCATTCACACATTGTTTAATACATTATAATGTCAAGGAAATAATTCGAAATTCTCAAAATAATACGAAGTTATATTTTTCTAACATATTATCATAATTAATTTGTATTCATAAAGTAATTCCAGTCCCATTAAATTAATTATTTCCATTCGATAATTAATTTCATATTTTAATTTCTAAAGATGCATGCAATTAATTTACTAATTTTCTTCTCTTAAAAGGTATGCTTATTTGAAAGTTATAAAATAAAGAATTGAATAACCCACCTAAAGCATTAATTAAATTGAATTCAGGTAATACAATAACAGCTAATGTTGCCACAAGCAACAGCTTCATATAGCAGAAATAATTGTTATTACTTTTAGGAATAGTATTAAAATTGAACAATTCAAAATTCAGTGAAATGATTACAAAATTTTACAAAAAGATTTGTTTGTGTTTTTGTTTTGGAAGAAAGTTGAAAAGTGGTAAATAGTAGAGTGAAGTATTGAGGCAAACAGTAATAATCAGCGAATAATAGAAGAATAATATATCTGACAATTACTGTTTCATATATTATTATTTTATTATAATGTCGCTCGATTCAGGTTTAGTTTGAAATCAAATTTGAAATTTGGTTCTTCCGGTCCAGACTAACCCAATCCACCGTTATGGTATTGTTGTTGTTGATAAAACTGATGTCCGAATTTCGTTTGATTCAAAATCTTTCCTTGATCAGTAAAGGTAACAACAGAATGGCCGCAGAGGAGAGATACCCCAAAATTACCCCTTTTCCTCCTTTCTATCTTTTGCAAATCATCGATCTCGACCCGCTAGTCCCACCCCCTCTTTTTACCCTTCCCCGTTCTCCGATCTTTTCCACCTTTCTATTAATTATAATCTCAGCCTTCTATTAAATTATGTTCAATTCTCGACCTCTAACAATCCTTTCGCATTGCTATCAAACCGCGGTTACAGATGGGTGAACGGACTAAATGAACTGGCCATTTCGTTGACCTTTCCTTGTATTGTCATTCTATAGATATATTTTTCCTAATTCTACCACTGCATCTATTCTTTCCCCCGTCTATCTCGATCAAAGATACCGATAGATTGCCCTATGTTGAGCACTGAAAGGTAACAGCAAATCGTCATCAACTATCACAATTACTTCGTACTATTACTGTCTTTTGCGATCGGATTTTCTGCTCTGTTCGAAGGAATGTATCGATACATAAACAAAATAATCATTTATTTCATAATTATTTTCCGTTCTTCTTTCTCTTCCCTCATTTTTTCTCCTTTGTTTTCTTTTTTCAAATCATTCTTCATTTATTTTTGTTGTTTAATATTCGCAAACATTTAATTCATTTCAGTTTTGCAAAATTTAAAGCAAATCATAAAGAACATTCACCCTAATTTGCACCACCGTACACAACAACGCAAATATGAAATTGTACAATTCGATGATACTATATAATACAGTAATCCGAATTATATCGCCGTTTTAGTATTGGTTAATTTGAAAGCTTAATTGTTAGTAAAACGAATATTTTTGCTTTCTTTTTTGAACATTGTTAAAGAAAGTAAAAAAACGAATATTGCATCATACCTGCTTTGGAGCAATTTGTCCCGGGATTTGAAGGATTCAAATCGATATAACCATCGATACAACGACATACGAAACCATCCTTAGTACCAATACATTTCGATTCTTTCGATTGACATCCCGTAAAGTTCGGTGAATCACATGAATTAATCACTACAAAGAAAGTTATAAAATAAATAAATCAAAAGGTCATCCTTATTCACAGTGATGCGTTAGATAATAAAAATAATTACATGATATCAGTTATTCCTTAACCTATTTTTTCGTGATTCCTAGTAAAAATCATGATCACGGTTAATAAATTCTATTAATTCATTGACAAATACAATAAATATGAGTGAATGAATAGACTAAATTGATATAATTTAAATATTTCAATTTCAAACAACATTGCAATTCCTAGCACTATTAATTTAGATTTAAATTAAAATTGCAAAGTATCCGATTTTTTTTCCTTTTTGCTTTTTTAAATAAAAATGATAAAGCAAGAGGAATAAAATGAAAAGCCTACATTTAGAACAAATTCGACCAGGCTTATTAATCGGATCCGGTGATTTGTCTGCAAAACCATGTGGACATTTGCATGTATAACCATGTGTCATATCAATGCAATTTGCCTTTGGATCACAATCAGCTGAACCTATTTGACATTCGTCCATTACTAAAAATTTAATTTGCATCAAAAAAAGCAAGTGAGAAAAATTTTGTAAAATTTCCGGAAGTCATAGAAAAAGAAAGAAAAATCAGAATTGCTGCTGATGTTATTAGACCAGAAAGTCATCATAAATTTAGTATAAATAATTTGCATAACAAATATAAATGAGCAATGACTGATATCATCAATGGTTTTATGAAGGTCAACACACATTTCTGTAAATCAGGGCAGATAAATAATTGATTATTTTATGATTTCTTATCAGTGGTTAATAAATGGCAGCAATTTCTATTGTGGTATACAAATATTTATTTAAAATTTATTAGTATGAAGACGGAAAAACTCATAAAGAATAAAATTTACAATTTCATTGAAAAAATCTTAAAATTAATAAATCTTTTTTCTTTATCACTAAATGCTATTTCCTTTAAAATGATTGAATTGATGCTATTATTATTATTACTGTTCTTATTGTTATTATTAATACTGTATTACTATTATTATTATTGATTATTATTGTTATTATTTATTTATTTATTTATTATTATTTATTATTATTATTATTATCATTATTATTATTGTTATTATTGTTATTATTTATTATTATTCATTGTTATCAATTATTATCACTATTACTATTGCATCATTGACAATATTTTAAAATGATCGTTCATATGGTTTGAAAATAGTTGGAATGATGCTATTTATTAATGTTTATATGTTTAACACACATATTTAAACATATACTATGCTGTAACATTAATGATATATTCATTTTGAAATGAAAATTCATGTCATTATTATCTTACTCTTACAGGCGTAAATTCTAATTTATATTTGCAATGATACCATTATCTTTAGAAGTTTAAAATTAATTTTAATTGGATTGAAATTATAAAAAATAACTAATCAACAAAAAAAGATTTCTTGACGAATGAAATTTCCACATTTACTCTATTAACAATAATTTGTTAATATTTGATTTCAACTGATTGATTATCATCAAACCCTAATTCGCTAACATTAAAGCAAGATTGAAATTAAAATCAGACCAAAATAATTAAATTGAAAAGAAAAGTAAACAATTTCATACATTTATGACATTTTCGCCCTGGATTTCTTGCGCCACCTTCCGAAATATCCACATAACCGCTACGACAACGACATGTATAACCGATTGGCTTATCAATACATTCTGCATTTGTATCACACTGATTCGTTGTTTGCGATACACATTCATCCACCACTTAATTTAACAAATTTTTAGTTTAAAATTTTTATGAGTCCTACGTCTATGTTTTCAAAAATCAGATTAGTTCAAAAAATTTCAATCAATAATTTTGAATTAATGGTATTACATTTTTAATTCTGACTTGAAGAATGATCAAGAAAATCGGTTTTTCACCGTGCAACCATTGTGACATTCAGTTTATAATTATTAAAATTATGTCCGCCAAATCTGATTTTTTCAAATTTGCATACATATTTGGTAAATCTTATGGAATGACTGCTAGGATGGATTCAATTAAATTAATGAGATGGAACAAAAACAAATTGATCTAAAAGATTTACATTTCACTTATTGTGTATGGATAAAATAAAGAACTAAATCTTGCAGCTGATATATCAAAAAATCCTAAAATTAATTAATTTCAGGTTAATTTTTATCACATGACTCGGATCAATAGTCTAAATTTTGCTCAAATCTCTTATTAGAATTGTTTCATTAACATTGCTTGAAATTGGAAGTGTTAAAAGGTTAAAATTTAGGATTAACCAAAGTTTAACAATGATTATCTGAAATTTTCCGCATTTTAGAAAACAAAAATATTCACAAATAATAATGAATAAACAAAATTGCAAGCAAACATTTTGCGCATTTAATGCCGGGTCGTGTTTTTGGTGAAATTGAAGTATCAATAAAGCCTTCATTGCAAAAACATTCATATGATAATACGCTATCCATGCACGATGCATTTGGATCACAATCATTTAACTCTGAGCTAATGCATTCATTTACTAAAATTAAAATTGATTATTTAAAAATAAAAATCTAATTCAAATATATCTCTTTGTTTAAAATTATCATTGGCCAAAAATTGTATCTAAACGATTAATTTAATATGGCAAAATTTTAATTTAAAATTTGATCCATAAAATTTACCCAAACAAATGCCATCCATACGAGTACCATTATTTCCACATGTACAACGATGACGACCAGATGAATCTGGCAAACATTCTTCACCATAACCTGAACAATAAATAAGTCAGTCATAATTTCAGGTTTTATTAGAATTGAAAAGTAAATTCAAGTTAGCTGGATTCAAGTATAACCGTTAAAAAGCAAAAAACCACTACCAATATAGTGTTCAAATGATAAAATTGCTTCAACTTTGAAATTTCAGCATTTTTAGTCTTCCTAAAGACTTCCTAAAGAAGAAACTTTAATTTATTTTTAACTTAACGATTAATCTTAAGTTTAGTATGATAACTGCTTCGAATTTCAGATTTCGCAATAATTTGCGAAAGCAGATTAAGATATTATTAACAATAAAGATTATTGACTAACTTAAAGTTATTATTGATTGATCAATTCAATCTAGGAATAGCACCTTATCTTTTGTAAATATGAGTTACTTTTTGAAAATTTCAAAGATTTAACCTTTGCAAGGAGTTTTTGAATTTGGATCACATTCCGTTTCTTTACGAGCATAGGTAAAACGTGGTGGATCACGTGATAAGCTTACTTTTTCACCATAAACTTCAATTAGATCTTTCTGAATCTCGGTACAATTACCAATGATATTATTGAGGTATTGTTGAAGCAGAGGTTCCAGTACACATCGTGGTGAACCTTGCGGTCTAATCGTTCCTTTCTTACAAACACAATGTGTTGATCCACCAACCACCTCAAATTTCATAAAATTCGCAAAATACATATGAAATATTTCTTTTCAAATCAATCAATAATCAATAATAGTATTAATAAAAAACATACAGTATGAATAAATATTTGATAAAAAATATTTTCGTAAAAATTTAAAATTAAAATTATTGAGGGAGAAAATTACTTACAATGCATATTTCTCCCAGCTGATCATTACAAACCGATGGATCAGGGCATTGGGCAATTGCGCTATAAGTTGGATATGGTACGGTACGATTCTTGGCTCGACTTTGTCTTACTGGGCTTCCATCTTGACAAAATTTTTTCATAGATGGACCGATTTCATCAGAACCATCCTCGCAATCCTTTTTACCATCTTTTAGCCTTTCACCATCAACACATCGAATTTCACCACAACTACATTCAAATTGGGTAACTGTACATTCTGAAAAAAAATGATAGTTACTACATTTTTCCACATTTTCGTAATTTCAATAACAGTAAAATGATTTCAAACAAAAAATTTTTTAATTCCTCAAAAGTTATACAATGAAATTGTTGAAAATTAAAGAAAATGCCAATCAATGCTAATTGACTATTTAAAATAAATATTTTAATTAATAAAATTGAAAGTAAAAAATGGAAATTATCAATTCATAGGAATATTTCATTTTCTTATCATTCGATAATATCATTTAATTATTAAATTAATTGATAAGAATTTTCAAGTTTATTGCTATGACTCATCATTTTTGAAATAAATAAATATTAAAATTTCAAATATTTGATTAAAGTTTTATTTCATTTATTATTATTATTTTTTCATTAAAAAAGAAATGAATTCTTTTAGTTCTATCTAACAGGAAAGCAAAGGTATTAAAAAAAGAAATCATTTTTTATGCTTCCATCCAAGACTTTTTATACGAATCATTCAACAAGTTCTTATTTCATTTTAAATTTAATAGAAATGGTTTAAAAGAAGAGAAAGAGAAAGAGAGAGAGGGAGAGAAAATGCAAGGAAGGAGTGACAGTATCAAATGTCCTTCAATGTCTTTTTATATTCCCTCTATTATAAATCGAATTACCTTACCCAGGTGATACTATCCTATTGACGTCCTTGATTTGAATGAAAAAAAACGAAAGTAATAAAATCATAAAAAAATCGAAAAAAAGTAAAATGGAAGGAAAAAGGAAGAAGAAATTTTATAAGAGTTCCGACAAACATATATCGGAACTATATACTGTCAAAAAGAAAATTACAAATTTTTATAGAAAAAAAGAAATAAGAAGGAGAATAATACGGTACCTTCATCTGAGCCATCCTTGCAATCGGCGATACCATCTTGAAAACGATTTCCTTCAACACATTGCGAACGATCGTTGCATAAAAAATCACCAGCTTGACATGCTGAAAATAGAAAAAAGGCTAAATATGAATTTAGAAACAATGAACAATTAAACAAATGAATGGAAAAATATGCAAATTATGTTTAATGAAACATTTTTTATTTTAAATTATAGCTTTTCTTATCAATTTTCAATAAATAAATTCAACGATTTATTAAAATCAAAATTTAACTTATTATTTTATCGTACTATTTATGGTTGCTTATATTTCATTGGATACTTTAAAATTTGAAACAAATGATTTTAAATAATTTACAATAGCGTTAATAAACTATGATAAGAAATATATGGAATGAGAAAAGATGAAAAGATACGTTCATCCGATTTATCCTTGCAATGCGCTATACCATCTTGATATTTGGAAAAATCGATGCATGCACTCTTATCACCGCAAACGAAATTATGCGGAGGACAACCTAAAATAAATTACACTCTCAAATTTGGTATAATTGAAAAAAAACTAATTGAAAATTTTTTAGTTTGAAAATTTCAATTTTCAATTAAATCAATTGATTAATTTATTCGGTGAAAGTTATTGAATGAATAATAATAAATAATAGTACTGTCGCATATTTGAGGAATTTTGTAATTCCTATAAAATAGGCATAATTAGTAGGGCTATTGGAATTAAACCTTCATCGAATCCAGAAATGCAATCGATTGCACCATCGTTAACCTTGAAATGCGAAATGCATCGCGGAATCCCGAGATGACAATCGAATTGCCACGGAAGACATTCTAAATAAAAATGAAAAAGAACGAATATGGAAATATTAATTATTAAGTGAATGAATCACTCTTCTTGATTGAATTAAATGAATGAATCACTCTTCTTGATTGAATTATGCAAATTTATTCATGAATGAAACACTCTTCTTGATTGAATTATGCAAATTTTGAATTGCAATTGGCATTGATTGTTTGCAATGAATTTAAACCTTTTCCTTTTTATCTTAAAATGAAATATCAGAATTTGATATTGAATTGATAATTTACTTATACTATATGATTTCTGTCAACCATTTATAATTTTAGTTATAGCAATTATGATTAGAATTTTTTTTAACTGTTACTATAATCTTGATGTATTAATAATATAATTACTTTAAAGTCTAATTTTTAGATTGCAAATTTTGAAATTTTATCAATTCAAAATATAGGCAATAATAATTCAAGCATCGTTAATGATGCAAATTTTCGTTATATATCCTATCGGAATCAATTAAATGATCGTTTATTTTCAAGTATTGCTTACAAACTGCTCTAATCAGTCTTACTGTTGTAAGATATTTCATATTTAAAATCACAGTTAGAAATTATCTGAAATTCGCATGTTTCTATTAAACTAAGCAAAAAAATCAGAATCAAAATAATCTTGTGGAGAGAAATTAACGTCAGCAAACGTATTTCAATTTAGCAACTAAACAATTTGTTTTACTTCAAATTATTCATTCAAATTTCAATAATTAACATTTGATGACAGTTTATTGCTTGGAAATGTTTAATATAATTGATTATTTGAGGAATTTTTTCTTTTTTAAGTATTTCAGTATTCGATATACTCAATAGAAGTATTTGAGTAATCAATATACTCAATATAAGTATTTGAGTACTCAATAACAATTTTTACTGGCACAGAAATTGCAATATTCAATTAAAGTTTAGAGTAACTTAAAAAATTTCATTAAGCAATCAAAGTAATTATTACTGTTAAAAATTTAACCATATGAAATTATTAAGGCTAATCTTCCATTAAATTACATGTTGTATTGAAATTAATTACGGTCTCATTATAAACAACTTATAATTAATGTTTGTCAGAGACGTTAAATAATATTTCAAATAAGTTATGATAGATGATATGTCTATAATTTTACCAGTGGGTCAGTCTACTGTATTTTTGTTTACTATCTTCAATGGTATCCATTGGTCATTTTATATTATAAGGGCAATTTAATTCTTTCCATTTGAATATTTTACAACTAAAACTATTATTACGAAGAAAATGAACAAGTAGATTAAGGAATACATATTATATATTACGTGTTAAGCGAATATGAATTCGATTATTTGTGTACTCAATGATACGAAAACTTATATATGTGTCTATAATACTTGTCCTATAGCATAAGTATACTTAACAGAATAATACCCATAAGAAGTTCTGTACATCTGAATTTTGCAACATTCGAATTCGTATATTGTATATTCAACAGTATGAGAACTTCAATTCATCTGCAACTCATAATCGAATTCGTAAAATTTCGTTTCGTATTTCAATGACATAGATTGATAGGATCAGTTTTGCTGTATGCAACAGTGATATGGAAGGAAGAAGTGAAGTAATATTACGATGATATCTTATAGAAACAAAAAATATTTGGGAAGATAGGAGGACAGTAATTGTTTCTTGAATATGTAACCAGTTCTATCATTGATATTTCCATTGATTTGTTTCGATAGAAAGGGAACAGGTTGAAAATTTAGAATACAAACTTATGATTCGCTTTTTTTTAAATCAAAAATGAATGATTTTGGTGAAAATTAAAAAATGTTCGAAATTTAGAAAATTAATATTCTTAATAATTTCAAATTTGAATTACATAAAAGGAAAAGAATATATCGGAGAATAAAGAAAATTGAAGAAAATCGTTCGTTGAAATTATTATTTAAACTTCGATGATATCATTTGATCAGAAATTAGTTCAAAGTATTGTGAACCCAAATGGAAATGATTGAAATAAAACTTTAATTATAAATTTCAGCATTTTTTTGCTAATTAAAATAAATGAATAGAATTTAAATATGCATAATTATCAACGAATATTTTTATTCAAACTTAAAATAATTAAAATAATTGAATTTTTTGTATATAGAAATGATTGAAATAACTTTTTTGTGTAATAAAACAAAGAAATTTCGGTTTAACTGTTAATTATTATAATGAAAAAAGGAAATTAAATAGCGCAAAAATAGATAAATTCAAAATTCAATTTCCGATATTCAAATTATAAATAAAGCAATTTAAAAGTTTACGAATCTCAATGTTCTGTGTTTGAGGATAAGAAGATTTTTTATATTTCATTAAATGTCCTTATCCTTTTCTCTCTTTCTCTCTCTCTCTCTCCCTCTCTTTCTTTCTATCAATTTGAAGTTTTTAAAAGAATTAAAAGAAAATATTCAAATGATATTCTTTTTAGACTTTCAAAAATAATAATAAAAGAAAGAAAAAATATTTTTGATAAAAAATTATTACAAACTTTCAAAAAGCATTCTTTTAAAACAAAAGAAAAACAATTAATTATTCTTTTTTAATTCAAATTTGATTTTTATGCTAATTTCATAGTTTTACTTCTTTATTTCAAATGAAAAAAAGAGTAGAAAAAGAAAGAAAGATAATCATACATAATACCATTTCAATTCTCTTATATTTGTTATCTTAATTTCCAATCATTTCTTCCACTCATCCATTCTTCCCTTTTCTTTGAAAGTAAAAAAATTTCTCTTCAATCGTTAATTTAAACAAAAACAAAAGGAAATTAATTATGAGCGAAATAGTTAAATATATTTTCAAATTCCAAACAATTTAATTAAATATATTTATTGCTAATTGCTGGCATTAAATATCAAAATTGGAAATATTATTGAAAAATGAAAATATATTTGATAATTCTGTTCGAAAATCTGGAAACTAATCCGTCATATTGTCAGAAAATGGATTCTTTTTGTTAAACGAAATGAAAATATTTTTGAGAATTAAAGACAAATTCATCGTAAAATTGATTGATTGACAACTAATTAGCATATAATTTTATTCAATTATTCTCACTTTTTCGAAATTTGAAAGAGAAAACGGAAGAAAAGGACGGAACGACCGGAACAACCGATCGTAATTCAGGTAAGGCGAAGTTAAAAAAAAGAAACAATTATGCTGTCAATAATGCATGGAAAATTACCACTCATTCAGGTTGCAATCGTCTCATCTTGAATTTTATTTTAGAATATGCATGGATATAAAAGAAATGTAGAAAATGAAGGAAGCTATCTGTCATCAATGAAATATTATTTATGTTTTGAAGTAATTATGAAATTGCAATAATTAAAAATTAAATTTATTATCTCAAATTTTGTTTTAAAAAAAGAAAATAAATAACGATGTAATAAATTTTACTGTGAAATTTGAAAATTAATGAAAAAACTTTACTTTACAAATAAATATATTTTTGCTAAAAATTGTTTGATATATTGTTATTGTAAATAAATAATTTATAAAATTTGTTTAAAAAAGGAAAAAGTAAATAATTAACCTTTTTTGGAAAACAATAAAAATTAAAATTAATTATTAGATTTGTTTTTTAATTTTAATTAAAATTTAATTCAAAAAATTTTACAATTTTATCTTTTTGTTATTTGTCCATATTCGATAACATTTTCCATCTATTTTAAGAGATTATTTTAGGAAAATGAAGAAAAATCAGAATTAAATTTCTTTTCTTTATTAATCAAAAAAAATTAAAAATACTCTGAGAAAACAATTGGTCAATTAAATTGGTCATTCAATGAAACATTTTGGTCATTCATACAACCGGTTGGCAATTTTTGAATGAACTAATTTGTCATTTTTCTGTTGAAAAAAATTAGATATCATTAAATTGCTACCATAAATTTTAATTCCATTGAATTTCAACTTTTTTTTGAAATCTAAATTTGATTAAAACAGTTTATTTTAAGCGATGATAAATTAATAAAACAATGTAATTAATTCATTATAAATATGAAAAGATAAATTTTATGATTTTACATAGCAAAATTAGATTTTTTTATTTTATATTATATATTATACTTTCATTAATTTGCTTCATTTTGCAATTATAATTATTTATTTCATTCTAAATTTTATCAAAATATGATTTCAATGTATTGCCTAAAATTTAGAAATGAATTCATTAAATATTATTGACAATATTGTAAATTTAATTGTAGCAAAAGGTGAATAATTCCAACTTTCCAGCAAATTTCAATCATTGAAATTAAATTAGAATTAAATTAAATAATATCATAAAATTTAGTAATTAATTACTGTATATATAATGCATGTGAAGCTTGGCTTAATTTAATTGCATTTAATGTTATGAATGTAAAAATTGATTTTGAATTATCATTCCTTCTTACACTTCCATTTAAACAATAATGATAATAATAATTTTGCTAATATTTTATTTTCCCTCAATTCAAAAAAAAGAGATAGGAAGCCTTTAAATTGCGGTAAAGTGAAAGTATTCGTTGAAAGGTGTCGATTTTAGCGTACTTCAAATCATCACTACAATGGGACAATTGATGATGACATTGTAATTGAAAATGAGTTCAAGGTAAAAAGAGGAGGAAATGCCTTCACGGCCTATGTCTTCAATCGTCTTTTACATTTCCATTAGTTAACTTTTGCAATAATTTGAATGATAACAAAAAAAAGAAATGATTCATTCAATTATTAAAGTAAAACAATAAAATTTATAATTAATTTTATTTTGAAAATAAATTAGCAATTAAAAATTACAAACTACAGATTTATTTGCTTATTTCCAAACTCATCAGTGATTAAATGATTATTATCTTTTATTATAAAACTAATTTATGGCGTCGAAAATTAAATTATGCCAAAGCATTACATTAAAGAATTAATTTAATTCGTCTGATATGTATATTACAGGCTGCACTTAACTATAAGTATGTATTAGAATGGAAAGCAAATTGAATTATTAATTTGATAAGTTAATCATTAGTAGCAGTGGAAAGTGAGTAATTTCAAATAAACATTTGATAATAATAATCTCAATTGATAATAATAATGAATATGTTAATGCGCATTTTTTATCACACTTATAAAAGTTTTATCAAATTTATCATAACGGTATTCTAATCATAATGCAATTTATTTAATGAATATTTTGTAATAGTTTTATGCATTTCATTCATTCTTTTTTCAATCCTAATTTCTCGGAATTAATAATAACTAATAATCATAATGATAACAAATTAACAACAATGATAATGATGATGATAATAATAATAATAATATTAATAATAATAATAACAATGATAATAATAATAATAATAATGATAATATTGTTATAAGAATAATTGTTATGCGAAAGAGACATTCAATGTGAATTATAGAAAGTTTAAAAGATTTTAAATTCTAGTATAACTTTGTAAAGTACCAAATTATGGATAAAATTTAATAATTAGATTATATCAAACAATTAAGAATTGTATTATTGGATCTACCTACATTAAT